TCTGATATCCTGTATTGTAGCTTGACTGGAGCTGCATACATTTAAGCAGAACATGAGACATCTGTCCATTAAAAATGAACTAACAAAATGTTGACTTGTCCTGAATATCTAAGAGACATCTATGAAAAGGAAAATGAACTGTTGTCATGAATTTGAAAAGTTCCTATTTAAAACATCTGATTAATTTTTGACAGCAATTTGCTCTTATTCCTGAGTGGCCTATGATGAGGCATTTCTTTTATGGTATTATTTATATGTACAACATATTGACGCAGCAAGCAAGGAATAAGCAAGGCTAGTCAAGTTTTGATTTTGCTATCCCCAGCAGTATCTTTCCAATGTGCTAAATGTTGTTCATGGACAAAGTTGCCCCAAATTATGATTCATTAATTCATGTTTATAGAAGGTCAGAAACCACCTTCCATTATTATACTTTTGAATTACTCCTTTGGTATTGCATATCGCTGTTTTAAGCACACAGAGGCTTTGCTGAAAGACATACAGCATGAGTCATCAATAAACCCTGAGTACTGTTAGCTTTGTTCTCCAAAAAAAACAAAGATTAGCAATCCTCACCATGTGTTATACTCGGCATGAATCCTGTGGTGATATTTTAAATGTGAAAATTTAATTTAACTGCAGTGTCGGCTTCTATAATTAGTAGATAGAAACTTCTTACTGGAAGATGTTATTCCTGTTATATTTATAAGGACATGAATCCTACTGTGAATTAAGAAAAAAATGTATGTGTGTGTGCGCGTGCATATGTATGTCTATGTATGTATAGATAGATAGCTGATAGACAAGTAGATAGCTGATAGATAGACAGACAGACAGACAGATATAGATTTGTTTCAAAGAGTATATGATATTTCCAAACTACATGAGGACTGTTGATTTATATGAAGAGTAAAGCCTGGAGCCATAAATATGGCCAAAACACCTTATTCCTGATTCTGTTCTACCTCAACATTCTAGACAGGACTTAGTTTTAAAATAGTTGCTCACCTCACCTAGTGAGTAAATAAGATTCAAATCATTGATCTTTTGTAATTTGTTAGGTTTTCTTGCTTGCTGGGGATGATGGAAGTCATTATAAAATTGAGAATAATGTTTTAGAAAGTAGTAAGCTTGTGAAAGGAAAAGCAGAGTTCCCTTAACAACGTTCACAGACTCCGCCCATTGCTCTCACTTTAACCACATATTCCTGATTTCTAAAATCAGGAGTCATGGAGGTGTTACAGAAGTTAAACCCTCCAAGCTTCTTCCAAACTGCTTATAGCTTTTTCTCATGTAAGGACTAGTTTTGGATAATTCAGTCAAAATCTTAGATTCAGATTTTTGCTCAATGAGTACAACCAGGACCAACTGAGAAGCGATAATGACTTATATGAGGAACATCTATCACAGATCGACCATCTCAGGCATTTCATATTTATGTCATTGCAATAGTTTTTGAAGGAGGCATTTTACTAAGAGCCCTGTTATTTGACAAGTGAGTCTTTGTATCTGGTTCACATGAATTCCACATCTGGAGCCTAATAGGCTGCCTTGGATAAGTTTGGAGCTTTTTCAAGGTGAAACAGATGGTCACCAACTGTCCCAAGCCAAATCAGACTCTTCCTGGCAATATGGTGTTGCTGTTTGTTGGTGATACATCTAGCTCTATTCCTGTTCTTGTTTCAGCTCTGGACAAGGCCTCACTTCCCCTAAAGGATCATGTCTAAAATTTATGTGTTTGTGTATTGTGGGGGGGTGGGGGGAGGTCCTCCTGCATTCATGACTCCTACTATAATAGCAAACGGAGGCCATGTCCATGTGGTGTTTTCCCAGCTGGTGCACCAACTGTGGGCCTTTCTGGATTGGGTGGCCCCGATAACAGTCTAAACTAATGTAGTATGTTCTACATGGTACTGCCTTTGAAAAGAACTGGAATCTTCAGTTGATCTAAAGAATGGCAGCCCATCTACCAGCTGGTAGTAGCTGAGTTAGTCCTGCAATAGCAGTGTTGTGATTGCAGCGCTGGTTACTGTCTTGCTTCTGAAACCAGTTCAAAGTTCTGCTTATTATCTTCAAGACCTACTTAACTTGGTTCTTGGGTAGGTACAGGATAGCCTCTTTGCACAAGATTCAGCCTGCCCCATGAATTCCTTTTGGGGGTGGGGGGCGGGCTGAGGATTATTGTATAGAAGATAGGTGGCCATATAAGTTATATAAATAAATCTCTGCCTCAAAAGAGATGAAAGAAATAGATATCTGAGGTGACACACCTTCTCTGTGGTGGCCCCCTGACAACTTGCTCCCAAGTCGTAGAATACCCTGCACTTCCTGGCCTTTAGGAAGATGCTCAAAATCTGACTATTCTATAGGGAGTTTGGGTATTAATGGAATAAGGATTACCATATAGCTAGAGGGATTTATTATATGAATGTATACCTGGTTTTTATCTATCTATCTATCTATCTATCTATCTATCTATCTATCTATCTATCTTGGGTTGACTGTAAACCACTTTTAGTCTATGGAAATAAGCGGGCTGCCGCAGTGACCCAGGATCACAATTATTCTTGGGAGGCTGAGAACCATGCACTTGGTGGGAGTATATCACACATGGTGGGGTATGGCAGTTCTGCCATCAGTCTTCAGCAGTCATGATCAAATGGTATCCAAAACCTGCACAAAAGGAGCTCAGGGACCACACATCCTTGTGTTGATGTACTGATTGTAACTTATGAAAACAATCAATAATTGCATGATATTCTCCAAAATGAATTATTAATTTACATTTAATGGGATAATTAATGGCTTGGGTGTTAGGTAAGCAAGGTTGGCCTAGGATGGTTCTATTTAAAGTAGGCCAAGTTTTAGTTAGGTCAATTCATATGCAGAAGTGAAACCCCATCCTAATTTTGTACTATCCTTAGGACAGTTGAGGAGGACCTACAAATGGTAATATAGATATTCTGTTTCTTACTTTCCCTGCAGTTGATAGAATCCTGTCATTAGTCTCCACCACCACCAATACTGTTCATAATCCGCAAATAGGGTTTTCCTGAGGTTTACAGATTCTTCTTGTCAGGTTCAGCCCAAGAACCACATCAAGGCCATCCAGTGCAGTAGAGTTCCTTTATTGACTTTTACCTAATAGACAGAATCTCGCCAGACTAAATCTGTCTACAGCTACTAGTGAATATACTCCGTGAGACTCTAGGGAGGAGCCAGCCTCATCCTCTTCATCTTCCCACACTTGCTGCGGGCTGAGGAGGTGTTTGCCCTGGAATGTCTCTTCCCCCTCCTGACAATCTTGAAGTTCCATTCCAGAAAGTACAAAATCTGTCTCTTGAAGTCATAAGAAATGTATCCAGTCTATTAAATGCATCATTTAAATAAAACACATGCAAGGCTAGATTGTTCAATTGAATTGTCTTGGTTCAAAGAAATGGAAGAAAACATGGAATGCAATTAAAGAGCAAAAGTACCTGCTCTCTTGGGACCCCTATATCAAACTAGTATGCTGTTTCAGTTTCTTTCCTGGAGTAATCTTTGGAGGGGATGCACCTGTGTTTTGGACACTGATCACAGAACCAGATGTTACAAGGAACTGCAACATGTTGCAATCCAAGCCATTCTGACTGGCAAGAAATTAATTACATTAACATAATGCTTTGGAGAGGCATTATCCTTCAGTGGTGGAGGGCATGCTTGGTAAGTAAATTAGCTAGTCCCAAGTATTCATCGCTAGCTGGATCTCAGCTGGGGTTGGGAAAGATCTTTGGCAGAGTTTGAAGAACTCTCACTCAATATAGATGTTACTTGATATACTAGCGATCAGATGTACCATGGGCCAGTGATAGGTCATCTTTTCTGAGTCAATAGACCCATTTGGAATTGGGAGTGAGGTGTGGATACTCCCACAAAAGAGCTTCCAATGAGGAAATGGACTTTAACGAACAGGTGCTATGGAAAAGATACCTCCTTAACCAAAAGATACGCCATCCCATCTGATTCTAATCTTTGCCTCTTTTCTGGAGCAAGTGGAAATCCAACATCAGTTTGCAGCCAGCTGCCATTTTTTATCTTCTGAGTTGGTCAAATGGGTTCCTGAAGCATATTTGTAAAGATTCAGGTGCTTTTTTTGTGGCATGGCAGCTTCTCATTTAGTTACTTTTAATTAAACAGTACACACACAAACACATATCCATATAGACATACATGGTGTGGGAAGCATGACAGCTGCCTTAGGAGATCTGTAGATACATTTGCACCTACAGACACAGCTTTGCCTACTCATGGGTAGACATGATGCAGACTTTAAATATATGCATCGTAATAAAGTTGAATCTTCCCTTTGTTTCATTTGAATTAGATATACTTGTTTACTTCTTCAAAACTCTAGGGGGGGGGAGCTATTCTATTACGCCTAGCTCTTTTAGAATGAAACAGCTTATTCAGAGTTGATTTTTACAAAATTGTAACCATAGAGCCAGAAAAGGGAGTACAACATAATCACTGTACAAGCCAGAGAAGAGTTTGCTTTAATTTGTTGGGTTCTTTTCAGCTCTCACAGGTTGCTATACTTTGTAGAAGAATAATCAAAAATATCCAGTGAGTATTTCTACTAAGTGCAGCTGGGCAGAGCTTTAAAGGGGCATTTCCTTTTGATGAACGTTTGATCAAGGCACCCTCTTGATTAAGAGAGCCCTGAGCAGAGAAGTGGCCCTCTCCTTCTCAGTAGTGTAGAGCGACCACAGTGCTTAGCTTGAAAAGTATCTGCATTACATAAAACAACCAGTTGAGGGCAAGTGCAGTGCCTTAAAGGTGCACAGCACCTGGTCATGATAATTGATGACTACTTTGCACACCCCAGTATTTAGAGAATTTCTTTGAAACATTGATCGGGAATGTTGCACAGGACCCTTCCCTGATCCACTCAGAGGCTGGCAAACTGTGCAAGTGTTGCCTTAGTTGGCATTACCTAATTGTCATATTTCTGTGAGGAAAGTGCCAGATCAAAATGTTGAACTTCAACTGCTGCTGTTCTGAATTATACATGAATGTTTTCTGTTGTTATTAATCTTGATCTCTGTGATCTCTTTCTTTTTTTTTCTCTCTCTCTGTGTACATATTCTTGCTCTTTTCATTCCATCTTACCTTAAGCAATATGGGAAAGTGCCTTTGATTGAATCAGTCCATCAATCCATCCAGTTGAATGGTGTCAACAATGGTCTGGATCATCATTTCAGGTTTTCAGAAAGGAGCTTTTCCAGACTAACCCAGAGATACCAGTGATTGAACTTAGGACCTTCTGCATGCAGAACATATGCTGTGCCAGTGAGCCCTGGTTCTTTTTTTTCATTTGCCAAAAGCAAGGAAAGCCAGTATCTCACATCTTTGTTTTCTTTCTTTTCTTCTTCTGCAGGCTTAAACTGGCATTCCCTCATCAGATGCAGAAATGAATAACTCCACGAACATAAGTTATTTGGAGGATAGAATGACCCTGCCAAGTCCTTATAAAACAGTTGAGGTTGTCTTCATTGTCCTGGTGGCTGGGTCCCTCAGCCTGGTGACCATCATTGGGAACATCCTGGTTATGGTGTCCATTAAAGTCAACAGGCACCTACAAACTGTCAACAATTACTTTCTTTTCAGCTTGGCCTGTGCTGATTTGATCATTGGTGTCTTTTCCATGAACCTGTACACACTTTACACTGTGATAGGCTCCTGGCCATTAGGACCTGTGGTTTGTGACTTGTGGTTGGCCCTTGACTATGTGGTCAGCAATGCCTCTGTCATGAACCTTCTCATAATCAGTTTTGACAGGTATTTTTGTGTGACTAAACCCTTAACCTATCCAGTCAGGCGGACCACTAAGATGGCAGGGATGATGATTGCAGCTGCCTGGGTACTCTCTTTCATCTTATGGGCACCTGCAATTCTCTTTTGGCAGTTCATTGTAGGAGAAAGGACAGTGCCCAATAAGGAGTGCTACATCCAATTCCTATCAAATGCAGCCGTCACCTTTGGCACAGCTATTGCAGCTTTCTACCTGCCTGTTGTGATCATGACCATTCTGTACTGGCAAATATCCCGTGCTAGTAGGAGCAGGATTAAAAAAGAGAAAAAGGACGGTGGTCAAAACCAGGATCCAGCATCACCAAGTTTAGTTCAAGGTAAAATAGGGAAACCAAATAACAACAACCTCCCAACCAACGAAGATGGGACTGAACACAATAAAATCCTGAATGGTAAAGCCACTGGGGAACCAGTGATGGAGAATTGTGTTCCAGCAGAAGAAAAAGAGAGCTCAAATGACTCCACCTCTGTCAGTGCAGGTGCTTCCAATGTGAAAGAAGATGAAGCAATCACAGAGAATGCCAGGGCTTCTGTCTCCCAAGTTAATGCAAAAGTGGAGAATTCTAAATTGACGTGCATTAGGATACTCACAAAGTCCCCCAAAGGAGATTATGGTGGCTCTACTAATACTGCCGTGGAGATTGTAGCCACTGATGGACAAAATGGAGAGGAGAAGCAGAACGTTGTAGCGCGTAAGATTGTCAAGATGACAAAACAGCCTCCCAAAAAGAAGACCCCTCCTTCCAGGGAGAAAAAAGTGACCAGGACTATTTTGGCTATTCTTCTGGCCTTCATTATTACTTGGACACCATACAATGTTATGGTACTCATCAACAGCTTCTGTTCATCTTGTATTCCCAACACAGTATGGACAATTGGTTACTGGCTGTGCTATATCAATAGCACCATCAACCCTGCATGCTATGCTCTCTGCAATGCTACCTTCAAGAAAACCTTTAAGCATCTCCTTATGTGTCACTACAAGAACATAGGAGCCACGAGGTAAAACCAGAGTAATGGGGGGGGGGGGGAAAAAACTAAAAATGGGGGAAGAAAGCTCCAGATTTTATAAAACAATGCCATAGCACTTTATGCTCTACTATGAAATCAAGAAGCTAGAGAACATGACAACAAGATGAGGTTTGTGCTCCCTTTCCAATGTCTGCACTTCAAAGATGATAACTCTTGGGTCAGTGAGTCATTTGGAGGGAAGGCTATAATTGAGTATAAGACCCTGAGACAATGTTCCTTTCTCTCTCATAGCAGAAGGGCTTTTGAATCCATTCTTCATCTTTGGGCACAACCTGTCCCTGAGAAATTCTTCTGAGTAAAGCTTTTTGGGGTTTGCTTTGCAAAAGGGAAAAAAAACTACACAAAAGCATTTCATGAAGCAGAACTGAGTAGGTGTAGTCAAGTATTCTAGAACCATTTTCCAGTTTGTGTCTTCATTTGAAATTGAGGAGGGGTGGTGGACATCTAACATACTTCATGGAAGGTATAAAAACCTGGAACAGAAAACGTGGAATAGTTCCAGTCAGTTCGTTTTTGAATTATAAACAAGTATAACATTACGGAACTAGAGAGGGAGAAAGCTTGAGTTTAAGGAGTTTACTATTAATAGTTACCTCTCTTTGGTTGCTTTATTATACTTTGTGGGAAAAAATGTACTTTACCTCATAATGAGAATGGTTTTAGGCAAGCTTCTAAAATACAGTACATCAGCTTTCCCCAGCCTCATTCCCTCCATTTCTGTTGAACAGGAACTATTATGCTGGCTCAGTGTTATGGCTAGGATTAAAATCATGCTAAGCCATACTGTGGTTTGTTTGGGGTTGGGCTTAGTGTGTTGTACAAATTGGCCACTGTGGTTTGTAAATGATAATTTATGATTTAGCATGATGCGTCAACCCAGGCAGTTGTTTAGCTACCAAACCATGGCTAACAAATTTGTGGCTTAACATGAGATGTGAACCCAGCCATTATGATGTAAAAATGCTAGAATTTGGATTGATTGATTGATTGATTGATTGATTGCCATTGTGGTCATTCAAAGATACCTTGTCTTAATTGATCTTTTCTGATTGGATCAGGTTTTGCAGTCAAACAGAAGAAAAAAATGGAAATGGGTATAGCATTTAGCACACTGTAGGAGCTTTCTGAAGAAGACTTTTGAAAATGGAGTGACTCTTCCAAAGAATAAAAGGGGCAGGTTATATTTGCAGCCATGATCAACAATGGTACACTGAATAGACATTACAAAGTAATGTGATTGCGTAGGTACATGGTTCAATTAGCAACTGTATTTCCTTTCCATTGTTTATCAGAGATTCTGTTACTTCAGATACATAATCTGGTGAGGCATACCCTATACCCCGGACTGAAACCTATAGCAGATCTTGAATGGTTAATGTAAGAGAAGTCGGGGGGGGGTCACTTTGGGATGCTGGCTCGCTTTGAATCCAAAGGTGGAGAAAATACCTGATCAATTGAGATCAGATGGCCAAATGAGAGTGTCTTGCCTGGAACTACTTGCAGGACATGAACAGCAAGGAGGATGATTCTTGCAGAATACTTTCAGATGCACCAAAACAATATCTGACATTCTTGGCCTCATGTCAGTCAGCCTCCCTTATTTTCAGTAGACAGTGGGCAGCACTCATAAAAAGAGGGGAACAGATGAAATAACTTCAGGAAAAACAGGATTGTCCAGTTAAGAGTTCAAATATCCACAATCTTCAAAGCATAGTCTGCCAGTGCTATATGTTCATCACCATCTTGCAGACATCTTTGCTATGTCATTAATGCAAACACATATCCAAGAAATCTGATGTCCCAAGTGTTGTCACTAAGAAGAAAACCTAAGTCCTAATATGATAAATCTTCATTACAAAGAAATATCCTAGCCAGAATCTACCCGATATACTGAAGACTCTTAATATTACCAAAAAAAAAAAATCTTCACAAAGCTAATGCACTGTGGGATTTTTTCCTACGTTATTCCAGTTAAATTTCCTTGCATGTATCTTAAACTGAGACAGCACATACATGTTGATTTCTATCCTCATGGAATGTTTTTGTCCTAAACTGCCTATATTTGAAAAATATGAAGAGGAAAAAAAGAAAGAAGAAAAAGAAGAATGGGAGGGGTGGAAGTCATTCTTCGACCAAATCCATCTAAATCCCTTAAGTATACATAGGATTTGGCCATTATAGTAGTAGTATGGGTTATAAAGCTATTACATAGAATTGCTTTGCATATTGGGTGATGAGGGGGAAGGCCTAAATGATTCTTAGGGCTGTGCAAATCTTCCAAGGGTGCTTTGCTTCAAGAAGATTCAAGTGAAGGCATTCTCTGGAAGCTGCTTTGGGAAGCAGCCAGGGCCCCTTGCTTCTAAACCAAAGTATAGGATTCATGCAGAATCCCACAGCTGTGCCAAAGTTTTGGAGCACTTCAGCCATCACAGGAGGAAGAAGGTTGAGAGGAACCTTATAATACTGCTGCCACCATGGCATGAATCTCTTCATCAGGGGAAAGCTGCTTCACAGAGACCTATTGTTTATCTGAATGTTCTGAGGGCTACAGATAAATGGCAATACCGTGACACCTCCATATATATTGAACACGCTGGATGGCAGGAAACCTTGGTGAAAGTTTCTGCTCCCTTTCACCTACAAGCAGTCACATCCTTAAAAGATAGGAGCTTCTGTTAAGCAGTTCAGTGTATATCTGCTTTGTTCACTTTTACAACCGGCATTCCTTCTCAACCAAGCACTTCAGTTTCACTAACCCATTTTCTTGCACCCTTGTCATAGTCCTAGAAATGTGACTAGGCAAATAGACAAAACTGGGCAAGAAAGTTGCTTTTCAGTGGATTTTGAATTAGAGAAAGAAGAACAAAGGAAGGAAAACAAATGAGGAAACCACCCACTGAACCTATCATTATTATGTTGGTCAAAAAAGAGACATCTTTGCTAATTGTCATTATTAATATCTCAGTTAAGTGTGGGGTTTCATATACTGCTTTTCATAAGTGTTCTTTCTAGGATCCAATAACATAAATTATTTAGGACAGGTAGGCAACCATTTGGCAGCTGTGATTTACACTTAATTTGGGGGGGGGGGTAGGAAGAAGGTGTGGTGGCCATGTCAAGTAATGATGGATTTGGGGTACTTTCAGGGTTTTGTTGTTTAACTGTGATGTGCTTATTTTGAGGTTTCCATTACAGTTTTCATCTGTTTCCCATCTCAAAATGGTGGAGACCTAATGGTTTTCAGCAAACATGGTTGGAGAGCCTCATAGGGCAAAATGGGGACCTGGGGATTGTGTCTGGCTTTGGAGCTACAAGCTGCCCACCTTAGCTTATTTCTCTTTGATCCCAAAGTAGACGGTTCCCAAGAAAAGTAGGGACACAGAGTCTAGGAAAGACATGGCAAGCTTCAAATATTTAGACATTCACAGAGATATGCATTCTCTGACCAGATGGCCAACATGACAGTAGACTTTGTTCCAAAGTTTTGCTTATTTGTTTTTCATTCAGATCTCATTGAGAAATAGTACTTGTCATTCTGTTTGGGTTAAAAATCATGTGGACCCTTATATAACATTTTTGACTAAAACAACCTCTGACTCAGAAGTTGTTTTAGAACCATTTACTTCATTTCTCACTGTGCCTCTTCATAATTTCTCATGAGTCAGAATGATACATGACCATAAACTCACCAGCAGTTCATATTCATGTCCAAAAATGTTGAAAATAATTAAACTATGAGGGTTTGCCAAGATTAGCCCATGCCATCGTTGTTATATTCCCACTAAATCAGTTGCATGCAATCCATATTTACAGGAGTTATCTCAGTATATCTTCATGTAGGAGTATTATAATTTTCCAAAGCAAGACTTTTTAAAAAGAATTCATAGTATTTAATCATGAGAAAGAATTAAGCCCCAGTTCTTACTGACATATTATTCTCTAGTTTGGCTGCATCATGTAAACTACAAGAAAAGGTTTGATTGAATTCACAAACATAAAAATTCCACAGCACAGACTTTATTCAGATTACATTTTCTGTAGAATCACTTAAACCACAGACTGGTCCTTCAAATGCCACAACAAACTCTGCTTTGACAAAACAGGAATGTTTTCTTAATGTGAAAATGGATGGAGAAAATATGCACACTAACATTTGGCTTACATGCAGCTGGTTTTTGATCCTCCAAGGCAGAGTTTGTGTCATCTTCTAAATGCAGCCATAGAAAACTGGCATAGTAGAAAAGATTTTCACAAAGTTCTTAAACATGTCAGTTCTCTATGCAGAGGGGATACAGAAGAGCACTCAAACATAATCCTACTTGTATCATTCCAACTCAGGTACAAATGGACTAACCTGCACTTAAAAACTAAGTCTAAGTTGCATTGTAATGAAACTGGAGGCATATATAGCAGGTCAGGGGGGGAAAAATAACAATTGATATTTATTGGGCATAATGGGGGAAGCAGAACAGTAATAAACTGGATGATTTCTTCTGCAAGCACTCAACATTTATTCAGATTTATTGACTTATGTAACTGGAGACAGTATTTTCCATATTATCCGTATCTTACAAAATGTCCAGTACAGCGCATTAAAGGACTCCCATTTTTGTCGGCCAGTCATTCTACAAACTTTGAAAATTTGGAGAGGGCAGGGTTCACTTTAGGACTTTGTTTAAAGATTATAGGGTTATAGGTTTTCATCCAGGAATTCCCTCATTGACATTTTTGATGATTCATGATGTTATGTGAGCCTTGGCAGATCTGTGGAAGTGGAGACTGGAGATATCTTAAATAAATTTACTAGTGAGTAACTTTTTGAGCATTCCTTCTTCATCTACATGCTTAAGATCTCATTGCACGTGTGCAATACCTAGACTATTATAAATTTACAGGGCTGTATCATTTTAGAATGGGACCCACATCCACATAATGGGGACTTCTTGTTGCAAAAAGACTAAGCTACAATATTTTACCTTAATATAGCACTAGTTTTGTAAGTATATATTTATTGTTTTATTAAATGGGAATATTAATCTTGAAATCCTCTACTAGTGCTTCAAATGGCAGTCTTTTATATAAGTAGCTTTGCTCATTGTGGTTTCCTCCACAAGTGTTGGGAATATATTGCCCATGAATCTGAATAAACATGGTTGTTGACCAAGATGGCTGGGAATTCTGATAATCTTAACCCAGAACACATCAAGATGGGGAAAGCTGGTACATTTCTGTGAAATCCAAATGATGGAATCGAATAGAATGGAATCAGGCATATCTTTTTCTAGAGTATGGTCCAGAGATTCTACTGGGCTTCAAAATAAATTTTTGTTGCTAGCTTGTTGTGTCTAGAATTCACACTTTCTCAAAATTAATTGCTGTTGTATAAGTAATCCCTCTTCACTTAACAGTATTATAGCCATCCTTTTGGCTTAAGAAGTGTTATATAATAAGACTTTTTTGCTGTTAATTTTCTAGACTTAGTCTTAAGTATACTAGAAAGTAAGGCCTGCCAAACTGAGTAGGATACATATGTGAGGACCAAGATCTCAATATTTATAATTCTCTCCCTAAGCATTCAAAAGAATGTAATAAGTTAGTTCACTGATTATAGTGGGTATTTGGATGGAAAATTGAGTGGGATTATACCCACCATTCCCACCTCTTACTATTGCCTAAGTCAACATCCTTCTTGCATACAGATTCTATGTGCCCAAAACCTGTATATTTATTTGGGAATCCTTAAAAAGGTGGGATCTTTACCTGCATATACAGAATCAGTGCACAAATATATTACTCAAGTTCCTTTGGATTGGAACCAAAAAGAAAGTCAATTTCAGGGCAATCAGATTACTCTTTCACTCCATCTTCGGCTTAAATTACAAGACCACACTTTGAAACACATTTTTTATTTTCTTATTCATCTGTAGCAACTTGTGACCAGGCTATTTGAAGATGGTATACTACTTACAAGCTAGCTCAGTCTTTAAGAGTTCCTGGTTTAACAGAAGGATAGTTGATGGAAATGTGAGAATCAGCCATCTGGGTAGCTGAATCCATGTTCTGAAATTCCTTATTAAGGGAGGTCAAACTGTCTTTTTGAAGTCTTCCACTAGCAGGCAAAGAATTTTTGTTCTCCAGATAGGCCTTTGGTAAGTTGATTTTAAACTGCTGAGTTGAGTGGCTGTAATCTGTTTAATTAATGTGCTTTAATTATGTTTTATTATTTCTATTAAAAAACAATTGCTCACTTTAATTTTACTTTACTTCCTTATGTTAGCTGCCTTGAACACTGATTTTGTTGGAAAGGCTGGAAACAAATTGAATAAATATATAATTTATTTATTATTATTTATTTAAAATTTGTGTTGTTCTTTGAAACTCCTCTTTGCACAGTCGAAAGCAATGAGCCATCTTCAGATTTATGGGGCCTACCGCAGATATTTTGCTGCCTGAGATGGTAACTCCCTCACCCACATCCTGATTCAGAAGTTCTATCAGTTCCCATTAAATTTTATAAAGCAGAACTTCCTTTAGAAATGCTTTCAAAAGAGAAGATCATTCTCATAGGTAGGGGGTGGCGTTCTTGCACTTACGTAGTTACAAGATACCCAAGGGGTGTATATCACTATATAATCTATCCAGGATTCTTGAAACCTTCCTGGCTTCCCATATTTCCATTAAACACCAAAGAAAAACATAAGGAGGGAACTGTCATGGGGCCTTATCAGTAAGGATGCTATGAAACCAGATTATGGTTCTTGTGGACTCTAGGCGTTTATAGTTTCATAGATCCTTTGGTGGATACATTTTTATGGGTGTAACACGTTCTAAAATGTTTATCATACAAGTAATTTTTTTTTAAAAAAAAATCCTTGTCAGATGTTTTTAATAGTTTCCATAGGCCCTAGGCATAGTACCTATTGGATAATGCAACCTTGGGTGCTACTATCAGTACCCAAAGAGAGATTCCTGACTTTGAGAAATTGTTGAAGAATTTATTCCTCCCCTGTAGAAATTCTTAAAAGTCATTCATCCAATTTCTTTACCTACAAACGTGATGGAGAATATTCAAAGGTCACTTTTTCCCAGCTCTGCTTGAATCCTACTTTAGTAATGTGATTGTCTCCTTCATTGCATTTGAAGTCAGCAAGGTCAGAGCAAGGTTAGAGGGAGTGTTATCTTCCAATACTGAAGAATGGTTAGAGGTATTAAAAGGAACAAATCTAGGATAAAACTACAGTTACTGCCTCCTAGGAATATGTATAAACCCAGCTCAAACCTACTTAGTTATAAGCATGATAGCAAAGATAAGGATAGCTTTTGTGAGGCGAGGCAAAGTTAGGCAAATATAAAACACTAGGAACAACTAGATGAAGTGAACCTGAAGTAGGGATCATAGAGTGGTCACTTTTACTGTATAGTGTAGACTGTGGAAACCCACTTGAACATTGGCTGAGTAATGATGACTGGCCTAAATCACCCAATGAATTCCATGACTGAGTAGGGATTTAAACTCTTTGGGTATGGCCTTTATTAACATTTATCAGTCTAAGTTTTTGCCAATTGCCATTGCTTCGGCCAGTTGCAGATCTCTTTCAGGTTACTCAAGATTCACATACAGTGATAACTGTACATTGATACAGTGATATCAATCCTCATAGTAATATTCTAAAACCATGCTTGCCTGGGAGCAAGTCACATTGATCTCATTAGGTCAGTGTTCTAATGCTTGCTGATTCTTGCTGTGTTAGTGATTCTGTGCATTAATAAGGTTTCATTCCCAGCCCTTCCAAATCCAAGATCTCATTGGTAGTGATTTTTCCCCACAAATATTTTTATTATTTTAATTATTATGGATAATGTATGTTATCATAGATGTTACAATATGATGTAATTGTGCATCATAATAGCACAACATTCATATAGCAAAATGTCAGTGTTCTGCTCTCCCATTTGACAATTCTTCTGTATTGGGTAATGATACTGCAATTTTATTTACCATTTATGATGTGAAGGATTTGGCCACATTTTGCTCAGCTTTTGAAATCTGAAATCTTTTAATTCATGTCTTTGGGACTGTGCACAAGGGACTATGAAATGGATTACAGAACTATAGAAATAAATCTCTCTTGGTTACTTAATGGTTCCTTCTTTAAAGGAGAGATTTTCACTGAAAATCTCTAGGGGATTATTTAATTTCTCATGGTGTCACTATTTTTTTCCCTAGACCTACATTACATTTTGCATTCACATCATGTCATTTTCCTTTTGAAGTGTGCTTCCACTGGATGTAAATGTGATTCTTTTTTTCATTCATTCTTTCTTATTAATGGTGCCTTTGAGGTTTCCATTTACTTAACAGATTGACAAAGCCCTTTACTAGTTCTAACTGGTTGCTAGTTCTGGTGAGCTTGCCAGTGTAATATGAGCATCATCACCAATAGCAATAAAATGTCTATTTTCAGAATTTAATGTCATCAAAGAGATGTTGGTTTTACATGGAATCACCACTAAATGAAGCTTATTATTATTATTATTATTATTATTATTATTATTATTATTATTATTATATGCAAACAAGCAAAACCATATAGTTAAGACATCGGTCATCTTTAGATGTCTACCTACATCTTACCAAGCAATTATGGAGTAATAGTTTCAGTTAGGCTGCATTGCCAGAGAAGAAAATACCAATGATATCCATTCTAGTTTATTCCTACATATACCAGACATTACTTTTTTTTTTTTTTTAATGTCAGAGCTGGCCCAAGACATTTTGATACTGAGGTAGAAAACCAGATGAGACCCTTCTGCCAGATCGCAAAAGCCAACTACAGTCTTCCTTTAATGCTGGTGAGGATACAGCAACTTCTGCTTCACTTGTAGGTAGCAGGTAACTTAGGGTTTGTAAGCCAGACCAGATGACATGTAGTTCAGTCCAACAATTTGCTCCACTTCCTACCATTTGCTGCAATAATCTCCTTCTGCTCAACAATAGGGCCAGTGTTGCCCAAGGCAGAATTTCAGAGTACTTTAATCACTCTGATGGGGTTACTATCAGGAACACTGAAATGCTATTTCTCATCAGATATTAATCTGTAGGAAATTCCTTACCAAGTTGTTCTTTTGATTTTAAGAGAGCCTTTTAGGATGAAGTAACTATTAAATATCATCTTGAGACAAGGCAACTAAGTGAGATAAGTAGTAAATTAGAAGACAGGAATCCCTTGTACCCTAAGTAGCGTTACCAGTGAATTAAGGGGAGTGACAATGCTCTTGTAATTTGGAAAGCAACTTGATTTGGTGAGATTGTGCCAAAGCTTTTCATAGCAAAGGTGGTGAAAGGTTTAGTCATCTACAAAGTCCTGCTTATTGTACCGTTGTTAAATGCATATCTCCATGGACAGGTTCAAGGGGCAACTACCATAGTCCTCATTTTATTCTTCTGGTGTAATGTCTGTAATCCAAATGAATACAGCTCTCCTGTGAGAAGTTGTGGTATGCATCCTGCCCCTGGGTTTGTGTACAAATTCCTGCTGCATATCAGACAGACAACAAGAGGAGAAAATGGAAATATGTCTCACTCATTCTTCACCGCTTCTTGTAACATCCAAAGACCCAGTCATCAACATCCATTACCCAGCAATTATTAGTTGCCTTCTTTCTAGTTTCTGGTGATTGCATCGGTATGTCTCAGTGATATATGAAATCATCATTTCTGACACCCAGACACTTTTACCAAAGCACTTCTAATCAACTTCTAACAGCAGACATATTAAAAGATCTACCTACATTGAAAATTCTGGATTTTGCTATATATGGGGAAAACATACTGTGACTGTCTTACCCACATGATCAGTCTCCACTTACTGTCATTTTATGTCACTTTCATACACACATGAAGATTTTTTTTTCTAATGGCTTGACTGCCATAAAATATTCACCTTCAGTTCTTAGTGGGGAATTATTTTGTGAAAAGACTAAAGTAAGTGACCTATCCATGAGATGGGGCCTTTAAATGGCACAGTATCACTAAGGGATTAATCCCTAGGAAGAAGACAAAATGTCCTCTGTTCAAATGATACCTGAACCATAGAGGTATAGAGCTAGAAGGGTCATTAAATTTGCTGGATATAGGAATTCAATGTAAAACATTCCTGATAATGGCTGTATAGCCTCCACACATTCTGAAAAGAAGAGCCCCCAACCTCTCTGGGTAATCAGTTTTATATGGGTAGGAAACTGACTATTCATGTAGGCACCACATCTTAAGGAAATTGTCACAAAACAGTATGGAGAAAACAGCTTTCCTGGGGATAAGTCTGTTGCCAATCCTGATCAAATCCATCCCAGAGGATTTTGACACTCTTTTCATTTTAATTTGGTTGTGTTCATTGGTGGATTTAGGACTGAAAGAAAAAGCACCAGATTAGGCAACTATTCCAACCATCTTTCCCTTAGGGATTCTGGGCCCATTCTAACATCCTTTCTACAATGCTGGATCAGAGCTAGCTCAGCAAAGGAATAAAGATTTTGTCTTTACTCCTTCTCAGCATTATGTTTCTCTTATAGGCCAGTCACTGGGGGAGGGGGGAATCCAAACTTCTGCTGAGCTACTTTTCCTCAACATACCACCTGGTCTGCTTTCTAAAGGAGTGGGGAGGACTTCATTGCTTAGGTCCTGCCATTAAAGAAGCATTTGAGGAGCTTCTCACTCCCTGCCCCTCAAAATCTGGCAATGCTCTACTGAGAGGAAGCAACTGTGAAGAGACTTAATGCAATGATCTGTAGTTTTTGGAACAAGGAGAAAGATGCTCTCAAAACTACTTTTAAAAGAAGCTCCTAGAGGTGCCTGACTTCTGACATCCATCTATATTTGCTGTAAGAATTATTGTTCTTATAAACTGACACAGTTCCACCTAAGCCATTGTAATTCTACTGGCTTAGGTACAATAAATCTCATTTGATATTTCATACCAGTGATGCAGTAGTATTGGGAAGTTTCAGTGCCTAGTTGGTTTGCTGTATTGTTATCTATTTGAATCAATGCAGAGATGGAGTGTAAGTAGCTGCTGTGATATGGTTTTTATTGGTGTAGGCCAGGTGAATAGTCTTCCTAACCATGTAGTAAGTGACCTTCCCCTGCCTCCCCCCCAAAAGTGGCCTTGCATTTGAAAAAAACACAACACCCTAACTACACAGTTGATCAACGACATAATTCATTTTGCTGGGATAATTATGGAAGCATGAATTGATTGAACACATCATTTCCCATTGTTAAGTATACAGTAGAAAGAACCATGTTTATGGTTATAAACTGATCTATTTTTCCATAGGCAGCAAAAATA